GAGATGACGTGAGCTAAGGCGTAGCGTGTAGTTAACTTGGCCCGTTAGTCATCGTAAGCAGCTGTGGTCAGCACGTGGACAGAGGCTGGCACAAGCGGACCCAAGGCAGGTTGGGAAGAGGAGTCCAGTCCCTGCTGCCCCTGTGCTCAGGGAGCACCCACCCCTCCTCCCAGCAGGCACGGCCAGGCATGCCGAGTCCCGAGGCGGCTTTGGCTCACTCTAGTGACGGCCAGCCGGCCAGCTGGGCCTCCTCTCCGCAGCCCACGGCATCTAAGGAGGTCCCTGCTCCTGGACCCCCTGGCCAGCTCCAAGGTCCCCACCTCACTCCTCTCTCTCCCTCGCTTCTACCCAGGGCGGTCTGGCCAGGGCACCCCGAAGAAAGGGCTGCTTCCGGCACTCTGCGAGGAGGTCCTGCCTTCTGCTGTCCCTGGAGGCTCTGTTCCTGTTTCGCCAGCTATTTTGCTTCCTCGGCCATCTGTTCCCTCCCTGTCATCTCCTCTCTGCCTTAACCTTAACCACTACTTCGCTGCAGATGGTACCCAACAGATCCGTTCTTGACATCCTTCACGATGCCTGCCCCCTCCTTCTCATCTCCCACAAGTGAACTTCTGCCCTGTCCTTTCTCGGGCCCCGACTCCAAAGCTTGGCATCAGATTCACCCCACAAGCCTCCCTCCTCGGATCCATCTGCTGTCAATCTGCTCCAGGTCTGAGGGCAAGCCTCCCCCTCCCGGGCCTTTTCCTTTTCCTAACGAGACTTTCTCTTTTCAAACTTGGCCAAGAACCTCTCCTGGCATCAAGTCCGCCGTCTGCTCCAGATAGCTACCTGGACCCCATACCCAGAGCCGTTTAACCCCCCAGAGGGCTCCGGGTTGGCAGCCTGAGACGGAGACCAGAAACCCTGGGGTCCAGCCACCCTGTAGTGGTGGGGCCAGGGCGCCCAGGCGGGAGTTTGGGTCCGGAACAGGTTCTCTGCAGAAAATGGACCTGTTGGACTGCAGCGAGGTGCTGGCGTGACAGGCACCGAACCGAAGCACATTTCCTACGCGGTTTTCTGAGCTCACAGATGGAACTCTGCCACTGCTGTCCTCGTCTTTATTCTGGCCACCAGTCAGGAAACGCATGCACGCACTTTCGTCAGCCACTCACTCGGCCTCTTCTTTCTCCTGAGGTGTCCTGGTGCTCCCCCAAATTCCTCCTCTTGGCCTCTCTTTTCTGGCATAAGGGCCCGGGGCTTTGAGGAAAGAAGCTCCCAATGAAAGCAGCTTTTTCGGTGATGATGGGGTCACGAGGCCGCATTCCTTGAGTGGGACTCAACTGGTCTGGGAAGAGGGAAGTTCCACCCGGGTTTGGGCTAAGATTGAAGCCTCCTGTCTCCACCCTCGCAAGCAGGGCTCTTTATGTCCCCTCTGCACTCCCTCTGAAGCAGAAAGCAGTGTACCATGGCTGCCCACAGGCCACCCCTCTGCGGGGACTGGAGTGGGCCGTGTCACCAGTGGCTCCAAGACATGGAGCCTGTTCACACCTGGCCACACGGAGACTCTCTGTGTCTCCGGGGAACCTCTGGCCTCAAACCAACCCAGCACCTGGCAACCCCGTGGCCCCGTCCCCCCTGCGCCTCCCCTTCTTTCCACAAAAGAGACCCGATCTGGCCGCCAGGCCAGCCCAGCTGGCTGTGGAAACCAAAGGGACACAATGCATCTTGCTGGGCTGCAGGACTTAGTCTGGCTCTCGCTGAATTATTCAGGGGTAGCATTAACTTATAAATGAGTGTGTTTGACTGATTTTTGTGGTTGATGTACAGATAAATTCTAATGAAAGACAGCTACAAGGTTTTAAATTATTAATTAGGATGCCACTTAACAAAGCCTATTTGGCGCTCTGTTTCCTTGCTTAACAAGACAGAAACTTGAAGATTCCGTATGAGCCCAGGGGCTGTTGATTTGCATGCTGCTTGTACAGCTCTAACAAGGAAAACCATAGATTCTGACCGTAAGCAGGCCGCTTCTGTCTCAGCCACATCCCCAGCAGGCCGCCCCTCCTTCCTGGATGATACTGGGTGGCTCAGGGCCTCGCTTGCCCTGCCTGCCTGCCTCTTATCTCCCACCAGAGGCTTACTTCTTACACCCCTGGTTCTACAGGGCGGGCCAGGCTATGGAAAAGCTGGCAGGGCAGCTGCCGAAGCCTTCAGCTCCCAGGTCTGTCAGCAGCAGGATCCGCTGCGCTCTCAGGGCTGATCTGGCTCACTAAGGCAGGGCTGTGCCCAGCAGAATCCTTCATTAAGAGCTGCAAGGCAGCACCCCCTAACTTGTGCTCGCTGCAACAGGACAATCAGAAACCAGAGGTGACCCTCATGGTCCAATAACTACTCTCCCCTTCCTACTCCTCTGAGACTTCAGACCACTGAGCCTCCCAACTCCACACAGCATCATGGTCAAGACCATAAGCCCTATCCTTTGCAGGAAGGTAAGCTTCTTTTCTCTTCTCCTCTCTCCCCAGAACCTAGGAAAGGCTACTTTTTTTTGTTTTTTCATCTTTCAAACGCTTTTCCAAATCATAATGGAAATATGGAACTCCTCAGGGGCAGGGCCCCATGCAGGACTCTGCATCAGAGAGACAGAGAAACTGCAACCCCAACTATAGCACTGATTGGAGCCTTTAGGACAATCCGAGAAGCAGAAACTTCAATGGCCACCACCCCCCTCCCCCCCAACCACCTTGACATTCACCTCAGGCACACCTTTGGCTGCGGGCACATACCTAGAATCCACACCGAGAATCTGAGTGTCCTGCAAGTGTGTAAAACACACAAGTCCTAGGGATCAGATCTGGGGCAGAGGGAGAAAATTGCCCAGAAAAAGGACACACACACACACACACACACACACACACAAAACAAAAGTCCTTTGCCCACACAGTGTCCAAGCAGCAGGCTCCTCTATGTCCCTCAGGCCAGTCCTCTCCGCTATGTCCCTCCGGCCAGTCCAGGTGGAAACCTCTTTCTGGTAGCTCTCCCATCAGCCGCGCCGTACCGGGAGGGGGAATAGGCCTCTCTGGAAACACACGTGATTGCCAAGCCTCCAGGGCCACCTCTTGAGCTGGGTAAGAGCCTCCCCCAGGAAAGGCCCCCACAATGCACTGGGCTCATCCCACCTGGGGCTGTGGCTAGCCAAGATGGGAGAGAAAGGCTTCCCCAGGCTGCTCAAGCCTCCCTGAGCACCTACACCATCGAGAGGGTGGGGGTTGCTTCTCGGCTTATTTCTCACGGCAGGGTGCCAGAAGACAAAGGCCAAAGGGGAAAGGAGATGTCAAGTCCTCCCTCTCTCTCCCTCATGGGCCTGCAGGCAAACATGGTGGCCTGTTAAACCTGGCCGCGGGGGAAGCCTTCCCCATAGGGGCGAGTTTGCAGGCTCCAGGCCCAAGCATGGCAGGTTTGGGCCTGCGCTCAGCTCTGTGGAAAGCACCTCTCTGTGCAGAGACTCTCTGGTTGCTGAACACATGTTTAATCGCTTTCTGCAGGGACAATGAACTGGGGTGCATGGGGGAAGGGTTTTCTCACCAGCCAGGGAGACTTTCCCCACACCACAGCGAAAGGCAGTCACCATTTCCTCCTCGGCCCTGCACCGCCGACCCACGTGGAGGGCACAAGTCACGCACAAGTTTGTATTGCCAAGACCCGGGACCCTGGGTCAGCCTGAGCAGGGAGGGACCATCCCACAGCCTTTATTGCTCCCAGTGACGGCGTGGTTTCTTCTCCCACCTGTCCAGCCTGCTTAGGGGCGTCTCTTCCATCGCCCCTGCATCTGTTTCTCCCCGTCCACCTGGAGGCTTCACTTCCCCGTCCTCGGCCACCTCCTCCTGCCCGTTTTCTCCTTCTCCATCCCACTGTGAGGTCAGAATCCCTTGCTTACGACACCTCGGTCTGTTGCCATGGAAACAAGGGCGGATTAAGGCTGGAGCGCGGAGCGCAGGGATCAGGCCCCTCCGTTACCTGAGCTCTCGCTGCAGCCGCTCCCGCAGGGCCCGCACTGCCCGCCGCGGGCGGCGCCGGAGCTGGTCGGCCAGGGACGGGCGGGGATGGGGGCGGCGGGGCGCGGAGCCCACCGGACTTGGGAGAGGAGCGAGGCAGAGGCAAAGGCGGAGGTCGGGGCTGCGGGTGGTGGGGCCCACGGACTAACGCCGCGGTCACCTGCCCTCCCGGGGCCCCGGGGACCGCTCCCCGCCGGCGGCCACGTGGGGGCGCGGCAGAACTTCCCCGGCGCGGGCGCCAACTTTGCAGCGCTCGGCGGCGGGGAGCCGGGTTGCCGGGGGTCGTGGCGAGGTGGTCCCTGGGCCAGACCTCCAGTGCAGCCTGGCACAGGCAGCGCACGCAGCCGGCACGGCCTCCGCGTCCTCATCCCTCCGCTCCAGGCGAAGGGAAAGTTTGAGGAACCGGACACTAGGCGCTCGCCATCCCCTCGGCCGCGGGGTGCCCGGACCCGGTCCCTGGAGACCAACGCTGGGTTTGCAGGGTAGGTGCCCGCGCCCGGGCCCCACCTGGGAAGCTGGGGCGCGCGGGGAGTGCCCGGGCCGCGCAGGGACGGACCGGAGGCTGCACCGGAGCGGGCTGGACCGGCCCCCACCAAGCGGCAGGAGCCGGCAAAGGGGACGGAGCCTGCAAGTGCAAAACTTTGTCATAGCAAAGCAGAGGTCCCAGGAGGCCGGCTCCCCTTCCACCATGGACAGCTCCTCACTGTGGTCTCCAAATGACCTCGTCCAGCCTGATCCCTAGGCCTGACAGCTTGATCCACGGGGCAAATCCCGTGTGTCCCCAGAAGCCACGGAACCCGGCTGAGCTCCAGCAACAACCCCTCCGCCCGGGCGCACCCCGCAGAGCCCGCCAGCCCGCCCGGGGGCCTGCTTCCCCGGCCGGAGCCCCAGCTCCGGGCAGCTCCCAGGACCGGACCGCGGCTCTGCCCCGCGCGCATCCAACTCCAAGTTGCCCCTGCGGCTGCAACTCACCTTTGAGAAGCATGTTGGCCGCGGGGCCGCAGCTCTGGGGTCGGCCTTAGACACACTCCCTCCGGGGTCCGGATTCAAATCCTCGGGCGCTGGCTGCCGCTAATCCGAGCGCGTGGAGGCGGCGGCAAACCGGGAACCCGCTGGTGCCCGGCGGCCCGGCCCCGCAGGGGCATGGTGAGCCCGAGCCCCGCGCAGAGGGCACCGGCGCCCACCCGCACCCGCCGCGCTGCCCGGCGGCCCCGCGCGCTCGCCGAGCCCCGGGACGAGCGGCTTTGCTCTGCGAATCCGGCGGCCTCCGTCTGCAGCTCGGAGCACTTTGCAGGCGGTTTTGAGGGGGGATGCCGCCCCCCTACCACCCCGGCCGCAGCCCCCTCCTCTCCGCCCCCTCGGGCTGCTGCTGCACAAGGGCGCTGGCACGCAGAGCGGGGCTCCGGGGAGAGCGCCCGGCGCGCGTTTGCAGGACCGAGCGATCGGCGGAGCGGGGCGCCTCCCTTCCTCCCCCCGCCGGCTTCCCCCACCTTCCCTCCTCCCTCCCGCCCTCCTTCCTCCCTCCCTCCCTCGCCAGCTCCCTCCTCCTCGCCCCGGTCCCCGCCCCCGCTCACGGAGCGCCTCCCATACAAAATTTATGAAAGTGCTCTCAGCCCGCGGAGCCTGCCGAGCGCCGTCCTATTCCCAGGGCAGCGGCGCTCCGCCGCGCGGCGCCGACTCCCGAGGTGTTTTCTCCGGGCCCTCCGCCCCCGGGGACCACTCTCCTCCACCTCGGGCCGTCCCAGGACCTGCCCCAGCCCCCGGGCCGGCCCTCGGACCCCTCGGAAAGCCCCCTCTCCGTCCCCGTGGGCTCTCCAAAGCTCGTCCCCGCAGCCCCACCCGCCGCTCGTTCGCCCTTCGCGGATGGAGGTCACCCAGCCAGGCAGCTGGAAGCGTGCGCTCCGCTCAGCCGACCGGCCGGCTGGGACGAGGCGACCGACCGCCGCCCAGAGCCCTCGATCACAAGTCCGCGTCCCTGCCCATCGCCTCTTGGGTCGGCTCGGCTTCCTCCTAGGAGGCTCGACGGCTCCTCCCGGCCCGGGACAGCCCCCGGCAGACCCTGCCGCCTGGCTCCGCGTCCTGCGCCCCAGGACACTGTCCTTTGGGGGGAGGAGGTGTGGCGTGCCCCCAGGCGGGTCTAGACCTCGCAGCAAGCATTCCAGGAGGCCCGGCTGCAAACCCCAGAGAGAGGGAAGAACCCACGTGGGGCTCCAGTGAGCTCCCTCCGCCAAGGGGACCTTCTGATTTCCCTCCGTCTGCACGGACCCCGCCGGGGCTTTGCAGAAAATGGAGGCGGCACCGCCTAGAAAGTAGGTCCCGCAGGGGGGCAGGTTAGGCTGAGCGTTCAGGCTAGGCGAGATCCTGGATGGAGGCCGGCACCCCCTACTGGCCTAGGATAAGACTCTTATCATAAGAGGGGTCCTGGCAGAGGAAAAAGTGGGCTAAGTCGCTTATTCACCACGTATTTATCGAGGGTCTATCCTGTGTGAGGCACCACTGTTCTTGGGGTCCAGCCCCTGCAGAAGAGAAGGCCCCTGCCTTTGTGGAGTTTATCTACTAGGGACCTCGTGCGGGAAGTCTGGGTGAGAGGGTGCTTGGGAGAAAAGCAAACGGCGGTATTCTGGAGCTGAAACGAGGGGTCCGGGGAGGAAAGCTCTTTGAGCAAGTGACAGCTAAGCAGAGATGTGATTAAACTGAGAGGATGAGTGGTGTGATTTGTTGGAGAAGAGTCTGGCACCATCGGAAGGTCAGAAAGGCCAGTATCATCCATTCACCACCATTGCACGCATTCGATGCCCTGAAGCTTGGGTGTGAGCTAACGGTGTAAGCTTGGGTTTCCAGAAGCTTAGGGAAGAAAGACCCACAATCCGCTTTTCAATGTTACAAGAGGAGATACACAGGGTGTCTTTCCTGCTGGCTCTGTAGGGAAGTGAAGGCCCATCAGGAAGGCTTCACACAGAAGAGGGGGCCGTCTGGGTTAGATCTTTTTTTTTTTTTTTAATATATTTTATTGATTTTTTTTATAGAGAGGAAGGGAGAGAGATAGGGAGTTAGAAACATCAATGAGAGAGAAACATGGATCAGCTGCCTCCTGCACACTCCTCTACTGGAGATGTGCCCGCAACCAAGGTACATGCCCTTTTCAGGAATTGAACCCGGGACCTTTCAGTCCACAGACCGAAGCTCTATCCACTGAGCCAAACCGGCTTTGGCTGGGTTAGATCTTGGGGGCTGTGTTCAACAGGCTGAGAAGGAGAAAGGCCATTCTAGGCAGTGCCCATGGGAGAACAAGGTGAGAAAATAACCTTGTTCTAAAGATTGGTCCATCTTTTTTTTTTTTTTAATATATTTTATAGATTTTTTACAGAGAGGAAGGGAGAGAGATAGAAAGTTAGAAACATCGATGAGAGAGAAACATGGATCAGCTACCTCCTGCACACCCCCTACTGGGGATGTGTCCACAACCAAGGTACATGCCCTTGATGGGAATCAAACCTGGGACCTTTCAGTCCGCAGCCCGACACTCTATCCACTGAGCCAAACGGTTTCGGCAGATTGGTCCATCTGAAGGTGGGAACAGAAGGCATTCTTCCTCTTAGCCAGGCTGGGCTGCCCCCACTCCCTGCCTGAGCCCTGCCAGGTAGACCCTGACGCTGAACTTAATGACACAGCTTGCGGAGGCCCTCCACAGGGAAACTGAGGCCCAGGGAGGTTGCACAACTTGCTCAGTATGTCATACTGCAGCTCAGGGCCAACCTGCCAGCCTGAAGCAGGGTGTGTGACTCCTCCTGCCACCTCCCCAAGCCGCCTCCCCATGACCCTGGCCCCGCAAACCCCAGCATCTTAGGCAAAGTTGGCTGGAACGGGGCGTGAGTGTGAGAAGCAGAGTTATTTCAGCCTCCGGAGGGCTGAGTGCGGCTTTGGAGTCCAGCCAGGGGTGGGGGTGACTGTAGGCGGGTGTTGTGGTATAATGTGGGGGTGCACTGCGCCCGCCTTCTTGTCAGGCAGTAATTACTCAGCCTGCTGAGTAACTCGGGCAGGGAGACCCCCCACAGACAGATGGAGGTGTTCTTGGACCAAGTTGAAGGACAGCCCCCAATGTTTTGCACAACAACAAGGGTCTTGGGGGACATGCTCACACCTGTCCTGTACACCGCCTGGTTTCCTATTGGGGGCTGGGGCAGCTCATTAGGCACAGAGGCTGCAGTGCAATGAAAGTCCCCATTCTCAAGCACCTCTACCTGAACCGCCCCCACCTCCACCTCAGAAAAAGGCCCAGCAGGGTGCCGGCTAGGGAGAAGCCACTGCTCTGCTGAAGCCAATCTTCTCCCTTCTTGGAACTTAAAGCTGCATCCAGAACCCAGAGCTGACCTTCGTGTTGTAAAGGGGGAAAGGCTGGACTGAGGGGATCCCTAGAATGGATATCCTGCGCCCTGGGGATCCAGAGACACTGAGGAAGATGCGAAGTTCAGGCTGGACTCTCATCAAGGGGAGAGGAGTGTTCCTTGGACCCATGTTGGCCACATCCCTGTTCAAAGTTGTGAAGAGCAAGAGTTGGTGGTCGGAGGGACAGAACATTGATTCCTGCTGGTCCTCCGCTTGGCTGCTCATGGCCAGCCTGCCCAGCCAACCCTCCTCTCTGGGCAGCCTCCCAGGCAGGGCCAGTTCCCGGCTGCTTGTTTTTCACTTCTCTCTGCACCTTAATTAGGAGTTTCCAAGCTGGGAGGGCCTCCAGGGGAGCCTGAGGCCACAGAGCTGTCTTAAAGGGCCCGTTGTACTCAAATCACCACTGCAGAGAGGGGAAGATGGTGCCAAAAGGCTGGGTGGGCAAGTGGCTCTGGGGAACCATTGCTCTATGGGGCAGACCTTGCTGAAGGCCAGTCTTGAAGGCACTCTGCTCTTTCAAAGGCCCACGCTGTCTCACTGGCTGCTCTGCCTTCCCTCTGGGATCCTAGGAGCTCAGCACTGAGCAGGAGAAATCTACCTACCATAAGCCTAAGGGGCAGCTTAGGCAGGGAAAACGTGGGCCAGCATCCAGAATCTGAGTCCTCGAACTGCCCCATCCTCACTTAAAGCTGCAATCCAGAACCAGAGCTGACCACAGGCTGGACCTTCGTGTTGTAAAGGGGGAGAAACTGGAATGAGGGGATCCCTAGAATGGATATCCTGCGCTCTGGGGATCCAGAGACACTGAGAAAGGTGGGAAGTTTAGGCTGGACTCTCATCAAGGTGGGAGGTGTGTTCTTTGGACCCATGTTGGCCACATCCCTGTTCAAAGCTGTGGCTTAGGACCTTCTCCCGGTAGCATTTCTTCACATGTGACCCTTCCACACTGTGGGTTCTAAAGGTGAGAAGGGCACCCGGGGGCGCTCTGGAAACCGGCACCAAGACTCAGTTTGGAGCTGGGCACAGAGTTCTGTCCTGTAAGGCAGTGGGGTCCTCCGAGGTAGGGAATGTGGCCCCACCTACACGCGGCCACTGCTTTCACCAGGGAGGGGAGCAGACGGAAGACCTGGTGGTGTCCCCGTTCACAGAACGCGGCCCGCAGAAGTCTGGGCAGGAGCGGGCAGATAGGGGAGCCCTGCCCGGGAGTGCCAGCTTCAGGCCAGCGGGGAGAGCGCAGCCGCTGCTGCCCGGGGCCACTAGGGGCTCTCGCGAGCCCCGACCTTGAGGGCCGAGCCGGGCCCACAGAGGCCCCGCCCCTTCCTCCTCCTTCCAGCCAACCCCCGCCCCTTTAATCCCCGCCCAGCCAACCCCCGCCCCTCGCCCCGATCGGCGAGCGATCGCCAAGTCTGCGCGCTCCGCATTCCTCTAGCGCTGCCTTCCCGGTTCCCACGTGGGCAGGCCGGCGATGGCGGCGCTGGTGGCTTCCGAGGCGGCGGGGCCGGGCGGCCGAGGCGGCCCCGGCAGAGGTGGGTGCTCACAACGCTGAGGCCTCTGGACCCCGCATCTCTGGGCAGGACTCCCCACGTCCGAGGCAGGACGTGGGAGGCCCCGCCATCACTTGCTCCGGGCCGCTGTCACGGGAGCCCAGGGTGCTGTTTGTGGTCCTCCGCCGAGGCCGGAGCCCGGGGCGTGAAGAGTGGAGACTCCCGGGAAGACGGGCCTGGCTGGGAAGGCAGGAGCCGGGCGCCCTGCGGCGGGCCCTGCACGGGGGTCGCAGGGAATGCTGTCAGGGGAGGGGCTCGTGGTTTCATCCGCCAGGCACTTCCTGGGCGCCCAGTGAATACCAGGCTGTGCAAAGTCCAGGGACTAGACTCGGGGACCTGAGACTTTCCGTGAATAACGGATGTAAACGGAAGGTTTAGCCGCGAGTTAAAGGAGGCGGCGCCTACTGGTCCCTGTGACAACTGGAGCTGCCAAGACTACCAGCTCCTACACCTCAGCAACCACCACAAGGGAACGGTGCCTGTCCCGGGAGCTTCTGTGAGGGCCCAGGAGCACTGGGCTGGTTGTTCCAAGGCCTTTGGAAC